ATGGGAAAAATGATTTTTCTTATTGGAGGATGCAGATGAAAAATTCGCTGATTTCGCAAAAGTTGCACATGGCTTTGGCTGGAAGAGAGAAGCATAAAAATATGTCTGATGAGGATTGGGAGGAGCTGGATCTGGAAGCACGAGCATCGATTATCCTATGCCTTGAGAGGGATGTAGCTTTCTTGGTAGACGAGGAGGAAACGGCTGCGGGTGTGTGGTTGAAGTTAGAAAGCACCTTCATGACGAAGAGTCCAACGAACCGGATCTATTTAAAATCCAAATTGTATACTTGCAAGATTGAGGAGGGCTCGTTAATTCGGGAGTACATCAACAAGTTCGATAGGATCATATCGGATTTGAAAGACATTGAGGTGACAGTGGAAGACGAGGATCAGGCGCTTCTACTACTTCTATCTCTGCCAAAGTCTTATGAAAACCTGATGCAAACACTGATGCTTGTGGGTGATACTTTATCAATGGATGAGACTAGAATAGCACTTCTAGCGGATGACCTTCGAAAAATTACAACTAGTGATATGGTCACGGGTGGTAACAAAGAACAAGCGCAGGGACTATTTGCCAGAGGAAGAGGCAATGAGCGAGGAAAAGGCAAGGGAGGAAAGCCTAGATCTAAATCGAGACCTCTTTGCGGGACGATCGTGTTTCAAATGCGGTGAAGTTGGGCATTTCAAGGTCGATTGTCCTAACAAGAGAGTATGTGGGAAAAAGAACAACAACAAGGCTGAAAGACGAGAAGGCAAGGAAGAGGCGAGCTACGCTTCAGAGGATGGGAGCGATAAGGAATGTTATGTCGTCACGGATGGCGAGGATACCTCTGGGAAGTGGATTTTTGATTCTAGTTGCTCTTACCACATGTGTCCAAACAGGAAGTGGTTTACTATCTACAGGAGCATTGATGGTGGAACCGTATTGATGGGGAACAACCATGCTTGTAAAACGGTGGGGCTAGGTGATATCAAAATCAAGATGCATGATGGAGTGGTTCGAACCCTGACGGACGTACGACACCTTCTCGGCTTGCGGAAGAATCTCATCTCAGTCGGTGCTTTGGACTCCGGGGGTTGCAAGATTGTAACAGAGAATTGCGGAAGAATCTCATCTCAGTCGGTGCTTTGGACTCCGGGGGTTGCAAGATTGTAACAGAGAACGGAATGAAGAGGGTTGTTCGGGGTTCCTTAACAGTGATGAAGGGTGTTCGTTACGGTAATCTATATACTCTCTCGGGTACGACGGTGACGGGAGATGCAACAGTTGGAGCTGAAGGAAGTGGTGGAGACCCATGTGAGCACACACAGTTATGGCATAGGCGGATTGGGCACATGTCAGAGAAGGGTCTGGATCTGCTTGGTAAAGAGGGTTTGCCGAAGAATCTGAAGAAGCCTTGCATGGGTTTTTGCGAGGACTGTGTGTATGGAAAGGCGCACATGGTTCAATTTCTGAGAAGCAATCACAAGAGCAGAGGGATACTAGATTATGTGCACACGGATGTTTGGGGTCCGGCTTCGACAACTTCCAAGGGTGGTTCCAGATATTTTGTCTCATTCATAGATGATCATTCAAGATATGCTTGGGTTTATTTCCTGAAGCATAAGAATGAGGTATTTGAGACATTCAAGAAGTGGAAGGCGATGGTTGAGAACAGGACGGGCAAGAAATTGAAGACACTGAGATCTGATAACGGTACAGAGTATACAGACGGTGCTTTCAAGGAGTTCTGTGATCAGGAAGGGATTGCTAGACACTGGACAGTCAGGTCTACACCACAGTAAAATGGGGTCACGGAGAGACTGAACCGAACACTGCGGGAGAAAGCAGTGAGTATGCGATCTTATGCTGGTTTGGGCAAAGAATGGTGGGCAGAATCGATTGCTACAGCTTGCTATATAGTGAATCGATCTCCACATTCGACATTGGACGGTGATACACCCTATCGGGTGTGGTCAGGGGAGCATGCAGATTATGAGAGGCTCCGGATTTTCGGATGTACCGCCTACTATCACGTCAACGAGGGAAAGCTTGACGCGAGGGCCAAGAAGGCAATTTTCTTGGGATTACAACAACAGCTCGAAGATAGTTTGGCTTCCACTAGGCCAATGCGAGCATACAAGCAGGTTCAGAAGCTGGGGGCTGATCAACCCCTGAAGCACTATGGGCAGGTTAATTTGGTTGAATACGCACTCTCGGTGGAGGAAGATGAGCCGGTCTCCTTCAAGGAAGCTATTCGAGACAAGAATAGTGAGAGTTGGTTGGCTGCGATGGAGGAGGAGATAGAATCTCTCCGGAAGAACCAAACATGGGAGGTGGTCCCATTGCCCGTAGGAAGAAAAGCTATTGGTTGTAAGTGGGTGTATAAGAGAAAGGAAGATTCTTCAAAGCTCGGTGGTACGAGGTACAAGGCGAGGCTAGTGGCTAAGAGGTTTGCACAAAGAGAGGGTGTGGATTACAATGAGATATTTTCTCCGGTGGTAAAACACACTTCTATTCGGGTGATATTGAGTATTGTTGTTCATGGTGATCTTGAGCTGGAACAACTCGATGTCAAGACAGCCTTCTTGCACGGAGACTTGGATGAAGAGATCTATATGCATCAACCTGAGGGATACAAGGTTGAGGATAAGGAGAATCATGTATGTCGCTTGAGAATGTCACTTTATGGATTGAAGCAATCTTCGCGACAGTGGTACAAGCGATTTGACTCCTTCATGCTGAAGCATGAGTTTTCCCGAAGCGACTATGATTGTTGTGTTTACATTCGGAAGCTTCGTGGAGGTGATTATATCTATCTCCTTTTATATGTGGATGACATGCTTATTGCATCGAAGAACAATGTGGAGATAGATAAGCTGAAATCTCAACTTAGCAATGAGTTCGAGATAAAGGACATGAGCGCTGCTAGGAAAATACTGGGTATGGAGATTAGAAGAGAGCGGGCGAATCAGCGATTGTTCTTGAGTCAGAAGGGCTACATAGAGCGGGTGATCATGAGGTTCGGGATGCAAAGTGCAAAGTCGGTGGTGACACCATTGGCTCCACACTTTAGGCTTTCAGGTAAATAATCTTCCACTACAGCGGAAGATAAGACACACATGAATCGTGTCCCTTATGCTAGTGCAGTTGCCAGTTTAATGTACGCAATGGTGTGTACACGCCCTGATATTTCACAGGCGGTTAGTGTGGTCAGCAGATTCATGACGAATCCGGGAAAGGCGCACTGGGAAGCAGTGAAATGGGTCCTGAGGTACTTGAAAGATATCGCGGATACGGGTCTGTGTTTTGGTGGAGATACATGTCAGATCGACGGGTATGTGGACTCAAATTATGCGGGCGATCTAGATAGACGGCGATCTACTACTGGTTATGTATTTAGGATACATGGAGCTCCAATTAGTTGGCGATCGATGTTGCAGGCTACAGTGACACTTTCTACAACAGAGGCCGAGTACATGGCTATGGCGGAGGGAGTGAAGGAAGCATTGTGGTTGTGAGGTCTTCTAGACGATTTGGGGATCGAGCAGGAAAGTGTGAACTTGTGGTGCGATAGTCAGAGTGCGATTCACTTGGCGAAAAATCAAGTTCACCATGCTCGTACTAAGCATATCGACGTCAGGTATCATTTTGTGCGGGATGTCATAAAGGAAGGCGATATTTCTCTCATGAAGGTGCATACGAATGAGAATCTCGCAGACATGTTAACCAAGGTGGTCACAGGTAGCAAGTTTAAGCATTGCTTGGACTTGCTTCATATCAGCCCGTGTTGAGTTGCCCAAGAGGGCATGGCCCTGTGGGGCGGTGATGGAGGTGAGGTGGAGACTATGTTGGAGAATAATTGCAGAACTACGATTAGCTTGATCCCGGTGGAGGGTACGTAGGCAGTCGCGGTATAGTGACGCAGCTGGTTTGGCCTGGTTTGGTCTGGATATCTCTCTGGTGGAGTTCGTGGGGTTCTTCTGGTGTTCGTCCATAATTTGAAGTTTATCAAATGATGTACGAGGTGGAGAATTGTGATCGTGGGGGACATGGAGGGCCCACCCACGTTTCCGCCGTTTCCTCTCGTGTGCGGACGAGCTCTCGTCGTGAGCTCGTGTCCGTGCCGCACGCGCCGCCTGTCCATGTGAGCTCGAGAGGACAGCACGAGTTTCGTGCGTCGTCCTGCTGCTCGCTCGAGTTTAGTGCCGCGCCGTTTCCCGCGCGAGTCCTCCTTTCCCGCCAGTCTATCCCGCCCACTAACTTCAGTTTTTTCTCCTATAAATAGGAGAGATTGTGTGTTGTTTTTAGTGTGGGGAAAATTGTGGGAAAATCTCAAGTGGAGTTTTTTGAGAGAAAAGAAAGAGAGGAAGAGAGAACTTGTATAAGTTTGGTATTTTTCCTCCATAGTGAAACCCCCTCCCGTGGACGTAGGCTAGTTTGCCGAACCACGTAAAAATCCCGTGTTTGTATTTGTCTTATCTGTGAGTTGCCATAGCTTGTAGGTTCCCTCGATATTTCAGTCATTGAACTGATGAGAGGAAGAGTGTATATTTCACTTTGATGAAATATATCACTTTCGATTCTTGTTTCCTTTGAGAAATAAGAATTTCACTATCTATTCTAGTTTCCTTTAAGAAACAAGAATATAGAGGTTGACTTGTGCTTTTGTGACAACAAAAGCCAGTGCTATCTCTCAGGTGATATCGCTTCCGCGACGGTGGGCGTGACCACGCCCCAACACAATCCATCAATCACTAAACTTCATTTTAGCATTATCGCCTGAAGATAGTTCAAGTCCATCCGCTCATAGGTCTTCTTCATGTCTAATTTGATCGACAAGTGTTGATTATTGCTGCGCTTCATGCTATGCATCGCCTGAATAGCGACCCAAACATCATAAGTAGTCGTTAATTAAGAAACTTATTTGGGCCAAGGCCCAAGTTCACGCCAATTGCTCATTGGGTAAGAGTTAAAGGACAGTAAAAATAAAAATGGATCCGGCCCATTAACCATCCTCTCTTCGTTATATATCGTTTATTTCCTAGGGTTTTGTTTCTCTGTTTCATCTCGAGCCGTCGCCTTCTTCATCGCTCGGAGATCATCAAAAACCCTAGCAACCATGGTGAGTATCTCTCAGATCCCTTACCAATATTCCTCATTTCAGAAATTATAGATCTAAGTTCGCCTCTTATACCACAGTCTTTAGTCGCGAACGAGGATTTTCAGCACATTCTTCGTGTTCTCAACACGAACGTCGATGGAAAGCAAAAGATCATGTTCGCTCTCACATCGATCAAGGGTATCGGCCGTCGATTCGCCAACATCGTCTGCAAAAAAGCGGATGTTGACATGAACAAGAGGTATCATCGTTGAGATCTTGTGAAGTTAGGGGTTTTGTATCTTTTAACTTTTAAAGTTTTGTTTTTGATTGTTTTTAGGGCCGGAGAGCTCTCAGCTGCTGAGCTTGAGAATCTGATGACGATCGTTGCTAATCCTCGTCAGTTCAAGATCCCGGATTGGTTTTTGAACAGAAAGAAGGATTATAAAGATGGGAGGTACTCTCAGGTTGTTTCCAATGCTTTGGATATGAAGCTCAGGGATGATTTGGAACGCTTGAAGAAAATCAGGTCTGCTATCATTTTGACTTTTGTATCTCTCTTTATGGTTATAAGTTTATGCTCTCTTTTTTCTACTGTTTTAGTTTGTGGAACTATAAATTGCATATCTTACCCCTCTATGATCTTATTGTTTAAGAACTACTGTAAACAATGTGGGTTTTCTTGCATTATTCTTTTGGGTGCCATTGGGTTGTTATCTCTACTATCCAAATTAAAATTTTTAGTAGGCAATACCATGTCACGGTTTGTATTATTAGTTTGGCTTTCATCCATTGTTTTCTCTTGGTTAAGAGAAAAACCTGTAAAAAAAAACTGCACAGGATGTAGGAAACTTTGTCATATAGTTGTTGTTAGGTTACATTTGTGATTTGATTGAAATTTTGGATCTTTGTAGTGCGAGCTATTTTTCTAGTTGGCGATCAAGTCTTAAGCGGATCATTGACTTTGTAGAATAATGTCTCGCTGTTTTCAATTTGATTTTCATAATGTGTTTATTACTATTAAACTTTAACATCTGAGCTATAGTTTACATAAAGATACTTGAAGTTAAGCAATCTACTTAAAATGATATCGGTTTTAGGTTTGAGGCGGAAATCTATTCCTGTACAATGTTTATATCTTCCTAGTTGCTGTTTTAGTGGTCTGTAATTTATGTGAGACTATTGGCTTTTCCCTGGTAAGAAATGCATCCAAACTAGATAATGTGCACCAAATGTGTTTTTTTACTATTTTGATCATCAGAAGATTTGATTTTTTTTGTGAGTGCCAGAAGAGTTTGCTTTAAGAATCTTTTTTCGTGCTATTGTTTTTTTCCATAATGCATATTTTATGATAGTTGTCTCAATCCCAATTCCGGGCAAATAATTGACTATTTTTTGTGGTATTATTTGGAATAGATACGCATATAAGAATAAAAAATCTCATTATTTACATCAATTACATGTGAAAAAGATAGAATGTAGGATGTAAGTTTTACATCTTTTTATGAATGCAGTTAATTCTATGCCAAAGTATACATACTACCGAAGTTATATTTTTAAATATATTTTAAAAAAATATTATTTATGTTAAACAATCATTTTTATGTTTTTATTATATTGATTATACTATTTCATATATCATGTATTTGTTATATTTTTAGATTTAAAAAAAAATCATGCATATACTTGATTATTTATAATTATGTTGATTTTTAATGATTCCTTGGTGATTAACAGGAAGTTATGAGATTCTTTGTTGTGTGCTTAAGTAGTAGCACAAATGTAGACATATTTGGATATATTAACTTCCTTTCTATGTAATTAACGTAAATGTCTCCCTTCGATAAAAGTAATGCCAAGAGTTTATTCACATTTAACATTTCATGTCATTAGGATAGATGTGAAGTTGTATACTCTTGTTAGCGTGCATTATATAAGAATTTAGATGTCGTGTCATGGGCAAATTTGAGTTTGTTTACGGCTGAAATATACGCAGAAAGTAGAAACCAATTCGACAACTTAACATGAATATTTTGGATTAAGGATAATGAATATTTGGAGGTATTGTCCATCTCACTTGATGATGAATCTATTGTTGAAGGCAATGCTTTGAGAAATGTTATATATAAGAGTTGATTTTTAGTATGAATTATCAAATTGTTTGATGATCTTATTCTTCTCTGTATTCCTGATGTAGTCCAAAAATTTTACATCTCCAATCAACTTTGATTTATTAAAGGAGTTCATTTAAATTTTGAAAATTTATTTATGCTTGCAATCTTTCAAAGAAATGATCTGTCCGTGTCTATGATCGAGCGTTGTAGGATTTGCATCTGTGCAAAGTATCTAGAGTGAAAGGTGTTATGTTTTTTGTTGATTGCAGTTCCATCTGTCTTTTTTAGAATTTAGGCAGTTGGTTATTTTTATTTCTGACTATTTGCCGATGTGTCCTCTCTTGTATGCATTTCCTGTTGGCGTGGTTGGAGTATGTTTGACTAGTTGGAATATTTATAACCCACCAGGCATTTGGAACTATAAATGGTTGGATTTAGTTGAATGACCGCGTTTGCTTTGTGTCCTGGTTGGAGCTTCTTGTCGCTATAAAGCCATGTCTACTAAAGTAGGCATTTGATGGAATATGATAAGTAGGTAACACACAAGGGGATCTGGTACATCTGTTTGGAGTGGATATATTTGCTTCACTTTTTTAAAAAACCTCTGCCTAGTCCGCTTAGGCGTACGCTTAGACCTAAGCGGTACCTAGGCCGCCTAACTAGCGCCTACCGCCTAAGCGGTATTTAGGCTGCCCATCTAAATTTTACGAGCGTTTAGGGGAGCATTGTCTGCTTACGTGGATTGCATCTTGTAGGCCTTGGTTGTGATTTTACGTGTTGTAGCCTACACGTCATCCAAACTCCATTAACCTCCAAATATGAACACCTCCACTACCTCCTCCGACTTTTAGCAAAACCTCATCGACCACCACTTAAATGAAGAAAGAAATCCGTCTAGACACTAGTTTGGCATCTAAGCTTTCTATAACGTTGACATTCACTATCAATTATTATAATTAAAAATAAAAAAAATCTTAGGCTCTAGCCTTGTTAATTATTATTTTGGCTATTTAGTATTTAAGTATGCATTATTTATTGTGGAACTAAGGTTGCTATCTTTTTATAAAAATTTATATGAATTTAATATATATTTTTATTAATTATTATAATTAAATAATTTAAAAATAGTCAAACGCCTAGACGTACGCCCATGGGTCTAGACGCTAGGCGCTCGCTCAAACGCCTAGTTTGCCTAGCGCCTTCTGTAACATTGTCGAGTTCCCTCGATCTTTGTAACTACTAACAAGGTAAAGAGTACTTCTTAAATATCTAAGTTAGTTAACAACAGTAACTTAAACTTAAGAAGGGTAAGTTAACAGTAAACTTAAGTTTAAGTTTAAGTTAAACTTAAGTTTAAACTAACAGGAAACTTAAGTTTAAGTTTAACAGTAAACTTAAGTTTAAGTTTAAGTTTAAGTCAATATTAAGTTTTTTGTTGATGGTAAACTTTAGTTTAAGTAAACAGTAAACTTAAGTTAACAATATTTTAGTTAACAGTAAACTTAAGTTTAAGTTTATTGTTAATTTAAACTTAACAGTAACTTATAAAGTTAACAGTAATTTGAGTTGAGAATGAGTTTTTCACTATTGAGGTGAATTTATAATTTGAGATGAGAAGTATAAGCATACAAAGAGCTATTGTAATCGGTAAACCAAGCAATTTAGTTAATAGTGTTGGTATTTTAGTATTTATGCATCTTTGATTGAGTATATATATTTATCTTCAAGTAAAAAAAAAAAGAAAAAAACGCCCAGAAACTGCTTAGATGCCCGCCTAGGCGACTAAGCGTCGTGCGCCAAGTCCGACGCCTAGAAGCGCCCAACGTTTAATATAACATTGATTTGCTTCCTTTATAATGTTGGTTCTCAGAGTGGAGTCTAATTCTGTCTACTTTAATGCGCTCCTTTATGTTGAAATATAAATCATAAATTAATAAGTAGTGTAGTGAAGCCATTGAAGTTCTGAAACAGAGATAGTGATGGAAATAAGATCTATGTGCTAAAGCATTTAAATTCTTGGCGGATGACAATGAGCTGGTAGCATGTTGCCTCAATATCACCAAACATCAATGAGGGGAACTTCAGAACTTGTTTTACAGTTCATCTTGCAAAATGATCTGTGATAGTGAAGTGTGTATTCCAGTAAAGGGCATAATAAAGCTATACCCAAGGACACCATAAAACCAGGTCGCAGGAGATATTGCTAAACTAACATTTAAAAAATTTCGTTTACCTTTAGTATTAAAGGTAACTGATGCCGATCTGCTGGGAACCTGCGATACTTACACGGGGTTTTCTCAAAGACAATAATTTTAAGCGGTTTTGTTTTGATATTTGATGTACGAGGCTAAGGTGTGGGTGTAAGATAATTAATAACCTGTTTCCTTCCACGTATTCCTTATTTTCTTGAGAATCGAGGCATAGCATTTGTAAAAAGTCAGAGAGAAAAGCAGTAAAAGCATCTGTTACTTGAACTGTAATTGTCTGATAAATCCAATCTTCAAACATTATAGTCTAGTAGCCTCCATCTTCATTAATTAACCAAGATGTTCCTCGTGCAACTGCTTAATCACACCTCTGCACCAACTGCAGAACCAGGCTAAGCTCTGGATGCCAGAGAGAATGACTTTTTTCCCCTCCACGTCCTCATTACTCGAGAACATAGCAATAGAATGTATAAAGGTCATAAAAAAGCATATTTCAAGTGAAATGTAATTATTTGATATCCAGTCTTCCAAACATCATAGTCCATTATGCTCTCCACCACCAGCCATTAACCTAGAAGATGTTCCTTGTACACTACCAAGGCATCCCTGCTTGACCTACAGTAGTAATAGCCGTGACTGATTTAATTGCGTACATTTGGGACCCAATGTTTTCAACTGTCCTGCAATTTTCCTTGCTGACAAAGAAACTACTTGATAACATGGTGGTGACAATAATCATTTTTTGATGGCCCTGACAATTTCCCCTTTTCTATGAGACCTACTCCCCAAGGACTTTGCGGTGATATAGTTCCCATCATTTTACACACCCTGTATAGGACTTTGATGCCATTGGCTAGAAAACCAATGGTTAGCATTACCTTTATCTAAATTACACTTCAAATTATTGTTACTTCACCTTGTGGCGTTACTTCACCTTGTGGCTTTATATTCTGTTAATATATTCTGAATGTTTTGTCCTGGTATATATACAGACAGATTCACAGAATGTTTCCTAATATTTGTTGAGGTTACTGTCTCTCATAATTAGTTTTCTTTCCATTAATACATTATTGAGGACATATACCTTAACTTTCTTCCTAACAAAAAAGCAGTGGTCGTATTCAAAATTCCTTTTCCTTTTTACATATGGATGTAGCACTTTTGAATAATTCGTCCCGACTTTTTACATCCATAGTCACTTGTTCAAGGTGCTGAAAACCAAATACACTTCAAATATGTTTCAGTATGATTATTATCCGATGTCAATGTGCAGGAACCACCGTGGGCTGAGGCACTACTGGGGCCTTCGTGTCAGGGGGCAGCACACTAAAACCACTGGCAGGAGAGGAAAGACCGTTGGTGTCTCTAAGAAGCGTTGAAACCTTGAGTTTCATCTGGTTCGGTTTTGAGGCTGGAAGTTCAATTAGACATTGTGTAGCTCAGCTTGTCTTGGACAATGTTTTAGGCTTGTTTTTCGGTAATCAGTTGAACAATGTAAGTCTCGAGTTAGAACAATTCATGTCTCGTGTGTGGTTTTTCCTACTCTATAATTATGTTTCTCCGTCTGAGTTTATTTATCAAGGTATTTTCTTTTGAGATTGATTTTGCTTTTTATGTTTTCTCTTTTTCATTGAACCGAAGATTATCGGCTAATGTTTATTTTGGTGACGTAAATTCATCACTCTTTGACACTGATAGCAAAATTATAGTAGTTTCCTTTGGACAAATTTTCAAAACCAACCCATTTGATAAACTATTCCCAAAAAAAGATCCATTTCAGTTTTATTTGCAAAAACCGACCTGGTTTTAGCCTCAGCGCTGAAACCAGGTCGGTTTTTGAAAAAAAGTTTCCGAAACTTCACGGGAGTTCGACTCCCGTGAAGTTTTGTTATGAGAAAAAACTTCACAGGAGTTGAACTCCCGTGAAGTTTCGTAAAGTTTTTTAGAAAAACCGACCTGGTTTCAGCGACAGTGCTGAAACCAGGTCGGTTTCTCTAAATAAATCTGAAACGGGTCGTTTTTTACAATTAGTTTATCAAATGGGTTGGTTTTGAAAATTTGTCCAGTTTACTTTTCACACTTTCTCAAAAGCGATTTTTCTGGAGGAGTTCACAGTTTCACTAACATGATCCCAAGTAAACGTGTAAATGTTTAGGAAGTCATTCATCGTGCTTCTTCACGAATATCGCCATCAGCAGCTTTTGTTGCATTTGTTGAACAAGTGGAGCAATTATCCTCGCAACTTGTTCGAACGTTGGCAACCTCAGATGAGATAAAGTGTGATTCTAACAAAACTTTGTGGCCACTAATGGGGGCAGAAGCTATTCAAAGTCCTCCTTTTGGGTGAGTGATTAGATTACAAAGGATTTTGGGATTAGTGTACCGTGATGCTCGTTCCATGACGGCATAAAAAAGAGCTTTTTGGGGACCAAACCAAAAATACTACATATAACTTGCTAGATTCTAACATTCCTATTACTCTAGCATCAATTCTATTGAGAAAGTGTCTGTTGAGGATGATCATGTTATTAAATGTGCACCTCCTAAAATGTAATAATTCAACGTTTGATATTATTTAAGTACGCTATGAATCCAGTTGTACTTTATTTTTTTCCATAATCAGTATCAAAGAGCTGGCGGCTAAAGTGAAATCCAACTATCCTCATGTCATACCTCTGGCTCTAATTTGTTTCATGCTTGTGACGTAGGAAAAGATAGCCCCACCATTTTCATGGATCATGGCATGATATAGGCATACCCGACAGCATATTCATGCGGATATGAGAATCTTTTATAAAATTTGGGAGGACACGTATACGTATATAGATATAAAGAAAGTAGTTGGATCTGTATACAATTTTGAGCTGTGGAAGAAATTAATGTTGATTAGGCATTTGGAGCTCATCATGTTGGCATGGTGGTAAAAGAACTTGAAGCGTGAAAGACCCGAAATCAAGACCGATCTGAAGTCTCTTTATATAAACAAGGACAAAACATACCCAAAAAATTTAGTATTTTAAGGAGACCATATATAATGGATAATAAAAGCTGCCCAAGCATGCGGTGTGAGGGTCAAGTCTAATTTTAGTCAAACACAATAATGTGATGTGTGATACACACACACAAAATTGATGGCCAAATGCATGAACAAGTAGAGTAGCAAAGTTGTGATTTGATGCCCAAGAGGGTCTAGCCAAGTTGGTAAGCTACTTATGAGCAGTACTCTAAGATCTCAAGTTTGATTCTCTTGATGAACACTTACACGAATTTAATTTGGTGGAACATCCGAGGCCGTGAGTTGGGGGGTGCCTCTTAGCCGCGCCAAGGTGTTTGATACATATGGTTCGAAGGATCATAGAAAAGTTTCCTCGCAAAAATAAAATTGTGATTTGATTGGAGAAAATATAGTTTTTGTTTTTTTTCCCTTTACTGCTCAGCAGAAGCATAGCAAATGAATTAGGGCGGGAGAGGATCATAAAAATTATAGGTATCCATGCCTTTAAGCACTATAGTGCTTTAGAAATAAGTCTCAAAGGGATCACATGGAATCTGAGGACTCAATACCAATTATCAATTATATTAAACTAGCCCAAAAGAGAAGAAACCTATCAACTTGATTAACAATAAAATCATGATTCCGTCATTGAATTAAAAGTATCAACCTTCAAATAATGAAGATATGATAATTATGGAAGACCCTTCATCAATAATATTTTTTCTTTTTAATGGAAAGATGAATATGCATTTACTTACTTTTAGCTTATAAAGGGTTGCAAATGCAAATGCAGCCTACAAAAAGCTAGTCTAGTCAATTAATTTTTGTGCAGATACTATTGCCAAATAAATAATAGAGTACCAGCATTAAGTCAGCAACAAATTATTAATTGCGTGTTATTCTCTTGCTGACTTTTTAAAGTGAAGAGCATCTTCCACATGCAAGCAAATAAGATGTTTATAGGTATCGTTGCCATCACTATGATCATAAAATTCGTTATTTTCAATTATTAGACTAACATACTATATGTAGCATCATATACATATCCTAAGCACAACACTTAACATATACGTAAGCCTGTCTAAAAAACTCGTCGGCTCGGGCCGTAACCCGGCCCGACCCGGAACAAGGCTGGCTGGGGCAACAAAAAACGGTCAAAAAACGGTCATATGGTGATGGTTTTTTGGTCATTTGCCTAGGAGGCTACCTTTATAATTAAATAAAAGAGGGTTTTCACTCCTTCTCCTCACACCAAAACTCATCTACTTCTCTCTAATACTCTCTTATACAATCTTATACTCTCTTATACCCTCTAATAATCTCTTATACTTTCTAATCATTTTATCAAATGGCTTCCGAATCTAGTTATGAAGAGCAAATCTATCTCCTACCGATCTTGAAATGAGTCCTCCTACAACTACTCCTACCGATCCTACCGATGTTAATCCCAAATCCAGTGACGACGATTCTACACCAATAGCTCCTAAAAGGCCGAGATCCAATGTGTGTAATACATATCCTAAGCACAACACTTAACATATACGTAAGCCTGTCTAAAAAACTCGTCGGCTCGGGCCGTAACCCGGCCCGACCCGGAACAAGGCTGGCTGGGGCAACAAAAAACGGTCAAAAAACGGTCATATGGTGATGGTTTTTTGGTCATTTGCCTAGGAGGCTACCTTTATAATTAAATAAAAGAGGGTTTTCACTCCTTCTCCTCACACCAAAACTCATCTACTTCTCTCTAATACTCTCTTATACAATCTTATACTCTCTTATACCCTCTAATAATCTCTTATACTTTCTAATCATTTTATCAAATGGCTTCCGAATCTAGTTATGAAGAGCAAATCTATCTCCTACCGATCTTGAAATGAGTCCTCCTACAACTACTCCTACCGATCCTACCGATGTTAATCCCAAATCCAGTGACGACGATTCTACACCAATAGCTCCTAAAAGGCCGAGATCCAATGTGTGTAATTTTTTCGAGAAGATAGACGTCACCAAGGATGAACACAGTAGGATCTTCACCCAGAAGGCTAAATGTGCGTTGTGCGGCAAGACTTTCCAAGCTCATCATAAGAGTGGCACCAACCACCTCAAACATCATATAGAAAAACATAACAAAGGTCAGAATCCTCAAGAAGATATCCGACAATCTATGATTTCCCATTAATCCTTCTCTTCTGGTAGTCTCGGTAGTTAGAATTATGATGCTGCTCGAGCCAGAAAATGCGTCAACAGGTTTATCATTCTTAAAAACATTCCTTTTAAATTAGTAGAAGATGATGAATTTAAAGATATGTTAGAGATGATTTTTATCCCGTATTTACAAAATTTTCTCGTCAAACACGTCAACGTGATATTTTTAAACATTATTAGGAGGAACAAGGAAAATTAAATTCTTATTTTAAAATTTTAAACTGTAGATTTTCTTTAACTTCTGATATTTGGACACCTAGAGTACAAACTGGTTATTTATGTATCACAACACACTGGATTGATAAAAATTGATAAATGTTTGAAAGAGTTGTTTCCTTTATTACAACTGAAGAGTCACATACTGGTATTAATGTTGTAAATTTAACAATTGAAGAACTTATGAAACTAGAAATTGATCAAAGAATATTTTCTCTTTCACTAGATAATGCAAGTAATAACAATATAGCTGTTGATTTTATCAAAACAAATCTGTCATTATCATGGTGATCTTTTTCATATTAAATGTATCTGTCATATTTTAAATTTAATTATTCAAAGAGTATTTACTGAAATTAAACCCATGATAGAAAATCTTAGAACAGTTGCTTATATGCATAATGCTTCTGAATAAAAACTTAGTTTTTATGATGCTATAATGTTATTATCTGGCTGTTATTATCCAACTATTACTTTAGCTGATTTATAAATTTTAAATATTCAAAAAAAATTGCCAAATATCGTATGAATGATACTTTTGGAGCTATAATTTTTCAAATGGAGAGCAAATTTAATAAGTATTTAAGGTCCATTCCTCATATTTTTTGTTTGTGGGTTCTTGTTGATCCATGTTTGAAGAATATTAGTCTTCGAAGTTTGTTAGAATCATTATATAATGGACATATTATAGACTTAGATGATGGATCCACCCTTACTGCTACTTCTCATCATTTAGCTATTAGAAATTATTTTCAAACCTTATATGATGAGTATGCAGCTAGGCATGATGTAGCTACACAACAATCTACAACTTCGGCGCCTTCGAGCTTAAGCCGAGATAAAAATATAAGTTTTGATAGGTATGCAATGGTAGCTGAGCTAACTGGTGGATCTGGACCTAGATCATCATTAGAGGTTTCTGAAATAGATGAATATTTATCTGTTTCTTTAGTTAAATATTAAGGAAATACTTTAGATATTTTACAATGGTGGAGAGTATATGGATCAATTTCATATGCTATACTTTCCAACATGGTTCGAGACTTACTAATAGTAACAGTACAGATTTCTACGGTAGCTTCGGAATCCGCCTTCAGCACAGCAGGACGTTTGATCGACGACCACAGGACATGCTTATATTTGTATACTGTACAAGTGGTGATGTGCTTACAAGATTGGTGAAGGT